TATACTACACTGTACTACACTGTACTACACTATACTACACTATACTACACTATACTATACTACACTACACTATAAGTGGGATTTGATCAATGTAATATTATATATGATAAATGGACTTTTACTACATGGTTTTTTTATAATGAATGTGATCCTCACTTGAATTCTTCTTCCACAGGAGGGCGCTCATGGCTCTCTATGACAGCAAGGTAGGACATGAAACAGCTGGTTAAAGGTGAAGTTCTCACTATTCTGGTGTTCATCAGCTTGGAGCATGTAGTTCCCTACTCTGGCCTGGAGGAGGTGCTACGTCCACCTTTAAATAAATACACTGTATACATATATATATATATCAATCTGATTGGTCAATTCCTGACCTAGAATCTGGACCAAACAAACGCTGGTTTATCTCACACAGATGGTGTCTGGTTTCCGACGTGAACCAAGGCCAGAAACACTGGTCCACTGGTTGAACTGAGGCCAGTCCTGGAGTCACATGACAGGATGTCATCTGATCAGCCAATCAGGGTTCAGCTGATCATCTACTGTTTTACAAACACATGTCGTTAGCTACCAGTTACTGGCTACCATTTCGTACTAACTTTAACTTGTTTGGCTAACCTTTAGCTACACTGTTAGCATGAGCCACGTGTCCTCTGACTGGTGACACACCAACACGTCTTAAATGACAAGAAACTACAGCATTCACCTTTGTCCTCCGCCCCTTCCTGCTCCTGAACTAGCGCCTCCAGTGACCGACTGGGGTACTGTAGGAGCCGTGTGTGTGTGTGTGGTGTGTGTGTGTTATCCTGTTCACTCCTGGTCTCAGCTTCTGTGACCTCCGCTCCCCCTGACGGCTGCCTGGCTGGAATGCACGTGTGACCAGGTTATTTTTAGGCAGCGCTGATTCAAATACCCCAGACGGGGCTTCATTGAGGACAAACACAAACTGCCCTCCAACCGCGTGGCACGTCCAAACTTTACTTTGGCTCTTTACCTCCCGGCCTGCGCACACACTCTTTTCTCCTGGTGAATCCAACGCCGTCGTGGCCGTCGTCTTCTGACTCTGACCACCGTCTCCATCTGATTGGCTCAGTCTCCTGAGGGACCTGAAGCTCTGCAGATGTCTCCTGAGGATCGTGGACCTGCGGCTGTGTGAGTTCTTGTTGAATTCAGTCTTTTCTGCTTCGGAACGCAACGCTCTTTTGTTTGTCTCCTCCGTGACCGTTTCACTTTTTGAAAGAAGCTCTAAGACTTTTATTTTGACAGGACTTCACGTGAGTCCATGTCTGTTTGTAAGTAGGACTTTTTTAAAACTCGGTCAAACGACCCATGGCCTGGTACTGGTCCGGGTACCAGTGGTTGAGGACCACTGTGTTAAACCTGTGTGTTGTCGTCAGTCTCAGCTGATGGACGACAACGTCAGACTCCTGTGTTGAGCAGCAGTTGAGCCACAGCTCAGATACTTGGACCGGTCTCTGCTGGTCTGGGATCAGGATCAACAACACAGATGACGGAGCGCGGCTGTTGCATCATCGCTGCCCCCTCTGGGCTCTGACGTTACTCACAGCTTTGGCTGCGTGTCGTCTCCGAGTGACGGAGGGAAGAAAACAAACATCACCTTCATCAGAACCGTTCCCTGTCAGAGTCAGGATTGAACATAAAGAAAAAGAAGTGAATCTTAACGAGACCAAGAATAGCTCCAAGTTAGCCAAAACAAGATGAAGCTAGTACGAACCCTAACCCTGTGTGGCAGAACACGACCCAGCTGACAGTTAGCGGAGGAATAGTTAGCCTTAAATTCAACAGAAGGAGATAAAGTTGAGTTAGCAACAAGAACGGGAAAAACGGATTAAAAATCAAAAACGGTGAAAATGTCAAAAAATACTGAAGGTTTAGAAGAAGAAAAAAATCAACAAAAAGGTCAAAGTTAGCCACAGATGTTCAAAAAAAAATTGAACAAGATTTAAAGTGTTGTGGAAGCAGAGCAGTAAACGGTCGCCACAGCGACACCAACAGGTGGATAAACATATTTACAACCTGCTGCTCCGATGTTTGGATTGTTCTCTGCTGCTATTCTTAGAGGTTTGTTAGAGGTGGAGTGACGGGGCTGGAACAGCTGCCGCTGACCTCTGACCTCTGACCTCAGCCGTCCCATCACATGATGTTGTTGTCTCTGATCAAACCGTGATATTTTCCTGGCTGTGTGTGTGTGTGTGTGTGTGTGTGTGTGTGTTGGTGAGGTGGTCCCCGCTCCTCAGGTCTTGAGTTACCAGCTGGATCAGATCAGATGTAGTGGGCTGTAACCCTACAACCTTCCAGCCCAGATCCTGGTCTCCTTCTGAGGACTGGCTGGTTTTCCAGGGACTGACGTTACTTCACAGAATCAACAGGACATGTTTGTCTGTGGAGAGGAGACCAGTTGGGTTCAGTTCGGTTCAGTTGGGTTCAGTTCAGTTCAGTTCGGTTCAGTTCAGTTCAGTTCAGTTCAGTTCAGTTCAGTTCAGTTCAGTTCAGTTCTGTTTGTTTCAGTTCAGTTCAGTTCAGTTCAGTTCAGTTCAGTTCAGTTGGGTTCAGTTCAGTTCAGTTCAGTTCAGTTCGGTTC